GGCTGTAAATCTTTATGGGAGCAGAAAGTCTCATCTTTCTCCCATGGAACAGCTGGTAGTTTCGAACTGCTGACCTTAAGGTTCACAGCCCGATTCGTAATCACTACGCTACCAGAGTTCCATGTATATATTATACACACACACAGACACACACACAGACACACAATATATATATATATTAGAATTTAGAATATTTAATTCAAATGCATTTCTCCCCATCCTTTACACAGGGATTGTTCATTTTACTGTTTGGATGTCTCTGGGATCAGAAGGTAAGAACCATATCAATTTCATGCTTCTAAAAATGTATGGTATCTGTGGTCAATTGGATTGACAATTTCTTCTTTAAAACAATGCAGGTACAGGAAGCTTTGCTGAATAAGTTTTCCTTGTCAAAATGGTCTTCACAGCACTCAAAGGTAAATGTTTCCTTTGTGGTGAATTCCCATTTTGTGTTGGAAGGTATTCTACTAATATGGTGAGAAGTATTGTTGCTAAGTACCCGTTGAGTCAGTTCCGATTCATAGGGACCCTGATATGGTTTCCGAGGCTGTAAATCTTTACGGGAGCAGAATGCCTCATCTTTCTCCCGTGGAACAGCTGGTAGTTTCGAACTGCTGACCTTGTGGTTCACAGCCCGATTCGTAACCACTACTCTATCAGAGCTCCTTTTCACATGTCATAAGAGACTAGAAATGTGTAAACAAGTAAAACATTTTAGAGTTCTTTAATGTTAGTGATGAGATTTCAAGTATCTCAGAAAGACGTTCTTGCATGATTTGTTTGAAGTAGAAATTCAGCTCATCCAGGACTTCTGGTGTGGCATTGTAGGATAAGCATTGAATTATAAACCATGCGTCAGCAGAGGTTCAAATGCACCAGCTGCTCCTCAGAAACCCTATACAGAGTCACTATGTTTTTGTTTTCATTTTTTTGTTTTGTTTTGTTTTGTTTATATTGGTCTAATGAATTTGCTCTTGGTAATTATCTTTTCCTCTCTCTTCTAGTCTACATCCCTAGGTTCATCCACACCTGTATTTTCTATGAGCTCTCCAATATCAAGAAGATTTAATAATCTGTTTGGTAAAACAGGTATGTCGTGGCCTCTAGGTGCACCCTGGTTGTCCAGAGCAAGCTTGTCTTGATTTGGAACCTGAAATCCCTTCACTTCCTATTCCTGTTCCCCCCTCACACACCCCTCATGGCATTTAACTGCAATGACCTCATTTGGGAAGAGGTTCAATATAGGAACTTGTGCAGTTTCCCCAAATCATCAGTAGGCTGGTTCTGAGGGCAACTTCCTTTTGTGTGCAACCAGTAGCTCATGAAGAATAAGATTTGGAGAATCTAGACAACCCTTTTAAGAGCTGCCTTTCAAAACTGAATTAGTCATAAAAATGAAAACCTGAAATTTCTGGCCTTGTCATACACAGAGTTCTTTACTAGTTTATGTTAAATTGAAATGGGTAGGTACCATTTCTGGGTCATTGTATGGCAAATAATTCATTCAGAAAATTCTATGACAGAAACCATGCTGTGGGTTACTTTTCCTTTTTGTACTATTGTTATTGTTTAACACTGACATTTATTTAACCATGTGTGGATAATCATGGACCAGTTTTCTATTAGAAACATGCACAGTTAAAATTTCCACCATGGAAGTACAAGATACATAGAATCACTGACTTTGGGCAATGGGTGTTGATAATCTAGCAAATCAAAATGCCCACGATGCCACCATCTTCCCAGGAAAAGAAACACCAAAATTCCTTTTAGCTTCTTGAAATAGAGCAGATATCACAAATTTAGAGTTCAGACATCTGTCAATATTCCAGATCAAGACCTTTCATATGAAAGTAGGCTTCAAGAATACCAGTGAGTTGCTAAGACTACAGAGAACCTGGTATTTTCTGCTTGCCTTCAATGAATGATTCATGAAACTGGAGGACCTTCGCTTTTGATTTTGAAAGTCCTGAATTTGACCTATTGTGAAATGATCACAAGTTCAGAGTGTACCTCTGTACAGGGTCGCTATGAGTCGGAACCGACTCCATGACACATAACAAAAACAACAACATTAGAACAACATTTCTCTTTAAGAGCTGCCTTGCATGCATTACCATCTGCATTCAAGTGAAAATAATGAAAATTCGATGACATCATTCTATTGAAGCAGAATTATGCAATATATTGTTGTTGTGTTGTTAAGTATCGTGGAGTCGGTTCTAACTCACAGTGACCCTGCACAGGGTTTCCAAGGCTGTAACTCTTTATGGGAGCAGAAAGCCTCATCTTTCTCCCACGGAACAGCTGGTAGTTTTGAACTGCCGACCTTGAGGTTCCCAGCCCAATTCGTAACCACCACACTAGGGCTCAGCAAATGAGCTCCTGGTTTCTGAGTCACTTAGATAGGTGTGGGAGTTGGGGCTCGGTTTCTGGAATCAGCTAGGTATCAGAGCCTGAGATATTTGGTCATTACTGCTTGGTGACTTTTTGAAGGTCATTGATGCTGTCTCCACTTTGGCACATTTGAGGGTTCCCTAATCACTGTAACTTTGGTTTATGTTGTTGGCAGCCCCAAAGGCCCCTCCCAGGCAATGATGGAAACCTTGTTAGCTGTTGCAGTTCCCGAATCTGATGGTAGGGTGGGCACTGTGACCCTCTTCTTGTCGAACACACACTCTCTCTTCTCTCTGACACTCTCACTGTGCCACTGCTCAGACGCTGCGCTTCCTGCTGCCCTGGCTCTCAGCCACTTGGCACTTTAGGTGTCATCTCTTGACTTCTGCTACTTCTCTGGTCCTAGGTCTATGTCCCTTGTGATTTATCTTTTCTTCCCTTTTTCTCACTTTACAAGCCCTTGCCTTTCTACTTAGCTTCCAGGACCCTTCCAAGAGTTTTCCCAAGTTAACTTAGCCCAAGGGCACCAGAGAGATCCCTCATGGGGGTGTCCCCAGCCCATGCATGTGGTAGCATGTGGAGCAGCTGCCCACGTGGTGGAGATCATCCTTCCTTCCTTTATAGAAATCTGGCTGCTGGTATGATGTGATGTAGTTAGTGCTTGTCGGCTGCAACACATGCTTGAGAACGGCAGCCTTGTTTGTTCTCTGGCACTTCTAGGGCTGGGGAGGTGGGCAGGCATGAATTTTATTCCCATGCTTGGCCAAGTTTATCTGGGCCCTGACCCAGAACTCTGCACTGGACCAGTAGTAGAGGTCCACACTGTGATGCTTCCAAGGCTTGTCTTTAAGGCTGGACCACTGTTCTATTTTACAGGAACATACAATGTTTCTACCCCAGAAACCACCAGCTCATCCTTGGAAAACTCATCTAGTGCTTACTCGTTACTCAACTAAGAACAAGAAAATCCAATCCATGTGACCTCTTGAAAAGAATGGTTGTGCTTAAAAAGAAGAGATCCTTCAAAGCGTTGGGTAAAATGTTCACTCAGAAGGCTTTCAGGAGCAGATCCTGAAAAGACTTTGTTCCATTAAAGAAGAGGTTTTATTTTGTAAAGACAGACTAAAAGTAATGTTTATGTTTATTTTTGCTTCCCTCCCTCTCATGTGATACCAAATGTGTATAGTATTTAAGTGAAACTCAAGTCCCCCTCCAGGCCTAGCTTCTCTGTCTATATTGTAAAATAGGATTTTGAAGAGACATTTTCACCTTTTATACACTGGGCACAAAGGTGAGCTTTGATTAAAGTAACAAAGAAACAGTGTCTAATCAAATATTCCAATGACTTCTATTTAAGAAGGAAGAAAGAGAGGGAAAGAGAGAGGGAAAGAGGAAGGAATACAAAAGAATGAGTAGAAATAACATTAAGAACCATAAGTTAAGGTGTCCATGTTAACGACCTAATACAACTACTCAGACCCTCCAACGTTAAGAAACGAACATGGCTCAAAAATGGAAACTGAAGTAAGTCGTAAGAAAAGAATTTGATATTTTCATAGGCAATGGAAAAAATAAAGGGCAGTGGAGCAAATTGAAAGGAAATTACATTATCAGAATGTGTCAAATGGATGGTGATTTTACAGTAAATGCATAGAAAGAATGATGATACCACCGATGTTAGATATGTGTATACCTACTTTTGTATGTTAAGGTTTGAGTTAAGTGGAAAGAATCTGCTGAGAAAGTGAGATAAAGATACTTTATCAGATCGAAGCAGAAATAAATTTCTGACTAAACGTTCTTTAACACAAATCATTTGCCGGAAAACTGACCCCAGCTCCTGGCGACCCCATGTGTGTCAGAGTAGAACTCTGTGCCAAAGGGTTTTCAGTGGCTGAGTTTGGGGGAGTAATCATCAGATATTTTTTCCCGAGGTGCCTCTGGGTGGACTTGATCCTCCAGCCTTTTGGTTAGCAGCCAGCACGTTAGTAGTTTGCACTACCCAGGGACTACAAATTTTCTACTGTCATATATTTTAGTTTGTTCCACATCTTGAAAAGAAAAAAATATATATATTTTTGATACTTAATTGCCAAATTTGATATATTGCATTGAAAACAGTCTCGATTCTCATATATTTAACAGTTTTAACCAGGTACTTCTCTGTGCATTATAGAATAGATTTTAATAATCTTATAGCACTGTATATTGTTGTTGTTGTTACTATTGTTGTTACTGTGGATTGAATGACCTTTGTTGTGTTATATAGCTCACTGTGTGTATTATTTCTTTCAGTCCTTAAGTGCAAGACCAATATACATTAAGATTTTTGTACAGCCTAACTTGTGTTTATTCCAACGACTTGGAACATTCCCAGAGAGAAGGTTTGCAGCTGGTGATTCTGTGCTCCCAATGACCCTCGAATTATGAACAGATGGCAGAGCTTTTCCCAAGGAATTGATTGTGAACTGTATGTGCATTTCATATAAAACTCACAGATATTTATCATAATTGAATCAATTCTAAAGCTAAACCAAGTGCTGTAAATACAGCTAGGTAGCTTACATTCTAAATCAAAAAGTCTGATACCATAGGGAAAGTAAAACAGTAAGAAAGGTGGATCTACTAGGGCACAGTCTGGGTTGTGAGTCTTCATGAGTGCTGAGGACATAAAAAGGCCCAAGCTTTAAGAAGATGAGACCAAAGACGTTGATACTCCGCAATTATATATTGAGGTTCAAAGAGTTTTCTTCTAATATATTAACTCTTTAAAAATTCTCTTCCTTGTGTTCTTTATTTTATATTTCTACTGTTTTCATAGAAAGGGAAACTAATGGAGTGTAAAAGGCACAGATGTTGTTAAGTGCTGTTGAATTGGTTCCAACTCATAGCCACCCTGTATAGGATTTCCAAGGAAGGGCTGGTGGGTTTGAACCGTTGACCTTGTGGTTAGCAGTTCAGTGCTTATCCTACAGCACCACACCAAGACTCCAAGATGGACAGTTAGCTGCCCTAATAATGGTTAAAACTGATGAGCTTCTTATATCTATGCATTTGAAAAATGATGTAGACATTCATTCCCATGTTTGTCTAAGAATTGTAACATAAATTTCCCAAATGTATGGTGCATTACTTAATGTCCCTAAAGTAAGTGCATTACTTACTTAATGTCCCTAAAATGACTGTTAGTCTATGAATGCAGATCAAGTTCACAGGAGAATTACCAACTTTGGGCAGAGCTTAGTACCAAGAAGACAGAGCTAAGGGCTAAGGTTGGGAGATCAAGTGAATTAGACTTTAGGGGAAGAAAAGCACTGGACTGCTAACCACAAGGTTGGCAGTTCAAACCCACCAGCTGCTTCTCAGAAACCCTATACAGGGTCACTATGAGTTGGAACCCTCTCGATGGCATTTAACAACAACAGTATTAGCAATAAAATGACTGTCTGATGTGGAATTGGACTTGGTTTCTGGAGTTATATCAGGGAGAACTGAGCCAGGGTTATAGAACAGTGTTAACCTGGCAATCATGACATGAACAAAGAACACTTAAGAGGAGGAAGTGATTCTCATATTTAAAAATGCAAAGGAATAAGACACACTGAACTTCCATCAACCTTAGTCCCTTGGGGATCATTGGGGTTGATGTTCTGAATGGGAACCTCCGTCAATTGAAAATTCCATAGGATGTAGACCTGGACCTCTGCCCACATTCGTAAACTAATACACATTGGCTTATCCCATCACACACACTTAAACACACAGAGGCAAGCATATGTCACTATCTTACAAGCCACACCATTGGAACCAATTCCAGGAAAACTATAAAAACAAAAATGTTTGAGAAGTACTTGCTAATTTTCTGCCCCAAATCAAGATGCATAATTCAACCACTGCCCTTTCCCAAGAAGATTTGAAAATAAGAGTTGAATTCAAAATGGTAAGAGAGACCAGCAGTCAATATAGCAGGAGCCTCACCTGGCCCCGAGGTCTTCAGTTTTCAATTAGCAACAATTGTAAAGTTATTAGTAGCAGATTTCTGAAGGAAGGAGGAAGATGGGTTCTTGTGTGGGGGCAAAGTGAGATGTGATCAGTTCCCTTTTAAATCGCTCAGTGTGTCCCCATGTTCTTGACATTTCTCAGTGAGTGAAGTTGGTTCAAATTTACTTCCATTAACAGTTTTCTTCCAAAGGATAGCTGTGCTTCTGCCTGAAAGGTTGTAAGATGTGAGCATTCACAAACAAACAATTAATACAAGCTACAAAAATATTCTCTGGGCATACTATAAATCCAGGGTAAAACACAGAATCACGTCCTCTCTTGAATGAGTCATGTATCTACCATGTTTACCAAATGGTAATGCATTTCTTATTGCTTTTATGGGAGAAGAGGTAAAGTACATGAGGTTTTTAGGATGTAGGTTATTAAGGCCAGAAATAAACACTCTGTGAACTGATAACCTTTTGTTGCTTAAATAGGGCAGAGGTCAGTGTGAGAGGTTTCAGAAAAAAAAGAAAAAGTTACCCTGAGATGGGAAAACAATTACAGTAATCATTAAGTGCAGATGGGAGTGAGGGCAGTTAATTCTGAGGCAAGTGGAACAAAGACAGTGGTCTCAGAAATAGGCGTGGGTGGGATGCATTTTGATGGTGGCATGAGAGTTAATGTCAAACGGGAACCTTACACCCCAAAGAGAAAGTTCAGTGACACAGGCTACCAGAAGTCTGATTCCCACATGTCCAAAACAATGGACAAGTTTGGAGCAGATATAGCTTTCTTAAGTTTTTTTGTTTGTTTGTTTGTTTTGTTTTAAATAGCAACAGGAATTATTAGGTGTCCAGCTTTTTAAAAAAAAGATGTTAATTTTGCAATTAGATGCTATAGCCTTCTAGAATTGTTGTTAAGTACTGTGGAGTCGGTTCCGACTCGTGGCGACCCTGCACAGGGTTTCCGAGGCTGTAAATCTTTACAGGAGCAGAACGCCTCCTCTTTCTCCCGCGGAACTGCTGGTAGTTTCAAACTGCTGACCTTATGGTTCACAGCCCGATTCGTAACCACTACGCTACCAGAGCTCCTTAATTTTAGGTCATGTCTTCATAGTATACCAACAGACAACCATTTCCTTTCCATGTTTATAACAAGATATTATCTAGTGAGATCTTGTGACGTTTATATACGTTATATGGTCTTTTGCAGTATGCTATTGCTGCTCTATCAGGCATACTTACATCATCCAGAGCCTAGCTCCATTCTCCAAATAGATACCCTTCCATTTTCCAGGCATGGAGATGCCAGATGTTCCCAGCTGATCTCAGTTGGCTGACAGGGCTGATGTCTTTCCTAGAACCATTAACACTCTCACTCACCATTGGTGAGTTAGCAGCTCACAGAGGGTTTAAATAATAGTCCTGGAAATTAAGCTAACAGAAACTGTCTGTAAAACAAAATAAAAGTCTGTTTTGACATTGATGTGTGGCTTAATTGGAATTTTCATTGTAGAGATGTATGAATTCCTTTAGCAGCCTATTATTATATATTTGCAAACTGATCCTATATTTACATTGTATTGTTGTGTACCGCCGAGTCAGTTCTGACTCACAGCAACCCTGTATAAGGTTTCTGAGAGAGGCTGCTGAATTTGAACTGCCAACCTTGTGATTTCCAGTCTAGTACTTATTCTACAGCACATTAGCAATAGTATCATTAATATTACATGCAAGCAAAATTTTGCTGAATATAATTCACAAATGGTTTCAACAGTATATTAATAGGGAACTGCCAGAAATTTAATCCAAATTAAGAAGAGGATGTGGAACCAGAGATATCATTGCTGACATCTGATGGATTTTGACTAAGAGCAGAGAATACCAGAAAGATGTTTACTTGTGCTTTACTGACAATGTATAGGCTTTCGACTGTTTGGATCATGATAAACTATGAATAATGTTGCAAAGAA